TTGTTCACCGTGCCCTGAGTCAGTCTTCTTATATTAATAGATCGCGAGATTAATTATTCATTTCAATTTACGATTACGTTTGCATGTGTTAAAACTGTAGAGAGCTCGAGTTTCGTTCGGAATCGTGCTACAAAGATTGTAAGGGTTGTAACACGAGTAACGTGCTTTAATGACACAGGTAAAACCGTTCCTCGGGAGCAACAGGTAAAGCATATTGGGAAATTGAAGTCGACGGCAGAATTCAATACGTTTCTGTTATTAATACCATATACAGAGTGTGGATGTTTCATGTTAATCTTTTACACTGTCACTTCAAAATGTCAATATTATAGGAAGACTAATTAATGATTATTTAATACTTGTTTAATTGTTCAAAATTAGGATCGTTAGAAATTACAAAGTAGACGCTTTTCCTAATCTCACCTAATCTCCCTGGTAGAGTTAACTCGTTAGAAAGTAATCTGATGAGACAGTAGACTTACGAGTTTAGACAGCTCTGAGTGATTATGCGATAGAAAGCGGTTTGCGTCAAAGAAAACGAGCTGTGAGCTTAAGGGGATTCGCCGTTACACGAATGAATGATCCGCTGTTTCGCGAACGGCTCCATTCTGAGGATTACTTTATCAACCAATCTAATTCTCTGATTGAAGTTACCAGGCAGAGAGATTTGGAATATCATTTCTACGCGACTAAAGTCAAACACGTGAATGATGCGCAATTTTCATTAGATGAAATCGGTTAAATCGTCGTGCAATATTATATCGCCTGTCCGTTGCATAAATTTCATATTTTACTTATCGTTCGTTTTGCTCTTGAATTAAGTTACCGAAATTGTATTGCGTAAATTCGCTCTAACCCCCGCAACATTATTAGTCTTGTTATCTTAACGCGCTCCAATTATACCAATTTTATCGGTGCTAACCATCTCGGTCGACTGATTTTAATCCTTGCCAATGGGCGTCCCGTCCCCGACAATCGAGACATTGATAACGGTACCGAGGTACGATAACCAGGTTATCCTTTTACCATTACCTCTAGGTATCCGTTAAACGGATCGCATTAGTCTCGCTCTTTATGCCCTTCTGTTTTATGATTCCACTTGGCGTCCTGCGAATACACGTCCGGTTTTAAAGGCGTCGCGCCACCCCTGCGGACGAGACCAGACGGTTTCGGGTGAATCGACGGAATTTACGACGCGGAACACGGCTAACGAGAATTTCGATTCGGAGCTCCCCGAGCGATCGTCAATTTTGACTCGCCTCTTAATTGAACGATCGTCCGCTCCGTAATTTACGGGATAGCTACTATCGCGGTTTAGCCAGAGTTTTACCGCGTTTTCACCACCGGCAAAGCGCTCTCGCGTAATTTCCGATAGCAGAACTATCCGATTTAATGATTTCGCTTAAGCGGCTACAATTAGCACACCGTTCGATCCTCCGATTTCGGTATCGCTGTTTGCACGCGGATTTGCGTTCGTATTCCGAATCCGTAAACAGATCATGCCTGTACTACAATAATGAATCATGAAATGATTTCTATTACTAAAGCAAAAATTTAATATTAATAGAAAGGAAGATTATTAGTGAAACTTCGATCGGTATAAGTGTTCGTTGGATTCAGTGACAGAAGGCTTATCTGAGAAATTGCAAGGATTATATGCTCGGTACAATTCTAATGCTTCTATTTGTCATGTCGTAGCTCGAAATATTACTTTGTGTACAAACGACAGGTTTATCGGGTGCTCCGAGATCGAGTCAATTAACCCGATTAACCCAATTTCCGTGGGAAATCCAGCTGCTCATATATTTCAAAGTTCAGAACCAGTTGAAGCAACTTTCCAAGTGCTTGTCCGTCGGACGAGGGAAGGGCAAGAGTGCCGTCCGAAATTTCCGGTGAAGATTCTTCAGCAAAGTGAACAAGTTGTATTAAATGGGAAAAGCGGAGTCTAGTAATTGACGCTGGAAGTCTATTAATATTACACGGATCAAACTTCTGTCACTGATCGTTTTCAATCTGAGACTCCCTCCATAATTTATTTAACAGAAAGTTTAGTATTACGAACAGACCGCAATTTTGATGGAACTGTTCAGAATTGATGATAAATATAATGTATGGCGGGCTATTTGTGTTCGTAGCTGTTCTGAAGCTAACGATCAATTTATGCTGAATAATGTGTTCAGTATCTCGGCAGTGGGTATTGTAGAATAGCTTTCGAGGGGAAGAGCGTGTTGATTAGGTCGATTGAGCAAAACCTTGAGAAGATACACCACCGCTTCTGTACAATTTCACGAAATAACCTTAATCAACTTAGGGGAAGCTTGTGAATATTATTATTAAGAAAACAGAAGGAACGAAATCTCTGTAAAAATATGATAATAATAGACTTGGCTTTTAGTCCTTTTTCTTTTTACCTGAGCTCGTTAATTCTACGTTGAAGAAAATGATAAAAACCATGTTAATAAAAATAGCTTAAATATTTCCATAAAAAGTATGACAAGCAATGACACCATTTTACAAGAATCATTTTTTATTCTGTTTTTTTTATGAGATTTTAAGATCTTGATTGCTGCGGGTAATATTCCTGACAAAAGTGCATTGCACGACGAGAGCGGTGTAGAAAAATTCATGGCCCATGAGAGACGGTTTGCTTTACTCGAAACATCCTCGAAACGATTCCAGCTAGTGGCCCCCCTATGGAAAGGCAACGATCCTGAAATTGAGAGTTTCTGATTTATTTTATTGTCGAGCATCTCAGGCTTCCGTTCTTTATTTCCACCTTTCTTCCTACGATTTCTATGCAACATCTTGAATCCTCGAACAACTTTTACTGTCTACTGAAGCGTCTCTTTCTTCGAATCTCGTCATAAAAGGTACATAAGTAGTTTCGTATGGAAAAATTTTAGGAACTGATCGATCGAAGATGAAACGATTTTCTTGTAGAATTTCATTAAATACCGGATGATTTTATGAACCGTAAAAATGTCGTCAGGGCTCTTTTACATCTGGGAAAAGTGTAGAGTTGTCAGAGCGAGCGAAAAACGTAGGAATACGTCATTTCATCCCTTAGCAGGTTTCCAACAACTTTCTCCCCCTTTCATTATTCAAATTCCGTATGTAACTGTTACACCGGGTATCGGCTGCCAAACGCGTGAATATACGGTTCTTTTAACAGGCGCATCTGTCATAGCCTGGGAACAAATGTATGTAGGCCATGCCGCAGTGGAAGCTTTTTTGGAAACGCGTGGCAATAAGATTCCATCAATCATGCAGGGACTTCCGTTAGTTCGACTCGAACACATCGGAGATAAAGCACTCGTCTTCGTGCATGTACAGTATCTACAAAAAATATTATACGACTGTCCCTGTGCTTTTTTAATAATTGAAAATAATGACTGACTTCAGCGAGATTATAATTATCGTAAATTGTGTAGAAATTTAGATAGTAAATGTGAAGCATGATCACATAACACCTCGTTAAAAGTTATGCCTGTACTGTAATATTTTTTGTGGCCACTGTAGTTTCGGTGACAGGGTGACGAAGGTCGACAACCTCGACAGGTTCGTCATTCTTTTTTTTCCATTCGGTGACGAATATAAAATCTAGGATAGACGTCGCGCCGGTTACGATGCCCGCCGTTGCGTCTTTTCATCTTGCGAAAGGGGGTAGAAAAAAATTGTGCACGGACGACAGAAGCCGAGACAAAGATAATTTAACCGAGAGCTCACTTTTATCAACGAGAAACGATAATTCACAGAGAAATCAGAATGCGCTGTGTTTAAAGAAGCAACGGGGCAACTTGAAAAACACGTATGGAAGCTGAATTATTCAACGAAGATTAGTTTTGATCTCTTTATCCTGGAAAATAGCTGTGGAATAATTTGTACGAGCAAATCCGGAATCTCTGCATGCACACGGTCATTGAAAATTCAATGAACCCGCGCTCGATGACCAATGAGATTCAATAATTCAATATAAGCAGATAAAAGCGCTAACACCTGTCCTCGTGAAAGTTTTCGAGATCTCATTCTTTAAACGCGATAAGGCTATCGTTGTGATAAGACTGAGAATCAGTAGGCAAGACGAGATTGATCAAGCACTCAAAGGAAAAGTACATTTGCTTTCTTATTATTGTTACGAGACACATGCTACTTAATCGAATATTAATATACTTTTTACAGGAAATTAATATCGAATTTAATTTAGTGATACCATCGCTCTATCTCTATACGAATAGTATGAGAATAGTTCAATGCCCGAAGGCAGTGCCAATTCATATCTGACCGATCAATGCTGGCACCGGGAACCAAATTAACTTTTCTCAGTAATTTTCTTCCAATTGGTGTAGTTATACATATATATTTTTAGGATAGTAGGCGCCGTACCGTCTCCGGTCCCTTAACTCCTGTCGAAGTTTCTGCCAAATCCGCATAAGCGATAAATTTCACCCTTTGTCGAGACCCACCCCTCGTAGTGGTGAGAATGCTCCGTCACGAAGGCTATTTATCATAAAATGTTTGCGGATATTGATAGTGAATAATACATAACAGAAATATTAATGCAGCACTTTATGTTGGAAGGCTATCAAGTTTATACAATAAATTCTTACATATACTATCATACGGATACATGAGCGTTATATAGGGATTCTTATGAATTATATCGTTGTTCTACCTGTCTTAATAGTTACAGGATTTTGAATAGCTTAACGAATCTCGTTAGAGCCACGCACGAAACTTCGCGGCGGTTCATTCCTTGTGAAATGATCTTGCGATCCGATTCCAAATCGGATCATCGGATAATCCTAGTTGGGAATGGTTGAATAGGAACGCTCGCTTAGATTATTGATTCTACTGTCTGCAATGATAACGCCGAACGTTGCAGCTTAATTTGCAATTCCGATAATGAGAACCAGAACGAAATTATTGCTAAACAAGGCTTCTCGATTAATAAGTTTGTCAATTTTTAATTGCCTGACAACTCGTTCTCATTTTTATTTCAGTGAAGTCTATTGCACTGGGGATTTATTGAAGACGGTACAGCTTGCTGAGATCTTTAACGATAGCAAGACATTCGTTGATCTCTATCAAGTGAACGATCCACAAATAACTCTGGCCAAGTGAGTACAATTAATTGTGAACGTAAAGTAGGACGTATTTTACACTGTAAATTGAATTTTGAGCAGCGCTCTATTTTTTATCTTCATAATAGCGTTTATCCTAAATCTGATTAATATTCTTTTGTCAACTGAATAAAAATTGAGCTTATATATACTGCCTACTGTAAAAGGTGACATGATTTAATCCACAATTCGTTGCGACTGATTCGTTTCCACAAATCCGAGAATTGTATTGTCTCGTTGAAATAATGGGATCGGTAGTTTTCGTTGTTTTGAATGAAACGGGGTTTTATGGGCTATTGTAAACCGGATTTGTGGCAGGACAGTAAACCTCGTCGTAAGTTTAGCGTTAATGCTGACGGAACCAATCGCACAAGTGCTGGAACTGCGTCCCGAGTCACATAAACGTTCACGTTTTTGTTTTATGATAAGCATCGCAGGACATACATGTTTTATCTTTGCATCGGTCGAAAGCATCCATTAAAAAAAATAACAATCGTATAGGTTTCAACGTTTTTTTATTACTGTTACATTTCATAATCTTACATAAGAAAGTTTAATAGAGAAATGCTTTTCATTTATTTTATCAGCTCTTTCGATTTCATCATTGTAGTTTCCACAATTTGATGAAGTCGACGCAAAATAACCCTAGCAGGAACCAAATAAAGCAGTTCGTTAGCGAGAATTTCGAATCGGTGAACGAACTGTTAAACTGGACACTGCCTGATTGGACGGACAATCCTACCGTCCTGAGCCGGATCCTGGACTCGAAGTACCGCGAATGGGCCAGGCACCTGAACCAAATTTGGAAGGACCTGGCTAGGAAGATGAACCCCAATGTGAAGGAGCATCCCGAGAGACACAGTCTTATCTACGTGGAAAACGGATTCATTATTCCTGGTGGTCGATTCAAAGGTAATCTAACTCCAGTCTGTGTCTACCGATTCAGAGTTTAATCATTTTCTGTGACGAGAAGTTTCCAAATTTGAGTTACCAATTGAACTCAGAATAATGAACCACGAAAACGAATGAATCATGAAAAATATTCCAACACCAACAGAAAATTTTGAAGTAGTAGATTATTAATACTGAAACAAACGTAAATCACGTCTGTGATAAAATACAAAGAGGAGTTACGGTGCTAGTTTTTAAAACTATCCCAAAAATCTGGTTTTTGTCGACAGAGTTCTATTACTGGGACAGTTACTGGGTGATCGAGGGACTGCTTTTATCCGACATGTATCAAACTGCCAAGGGGATGATAGACAACTTTGTGTACATGGTGGAAAGATATGGTTTCATACCCAACGGTGGCAGAATTTATTACCTTATGAGAAGCCAACCGCCCCTGTTACATCTCATGGTACGTCACGCCCTTTTTATACCGTTTTTAAACTCGTTTTTCAAACGTGTACTACGACATTAACAAATATTTTGACAGGAAACAAATTTATTCCTTCAATCGTCGACCGAGTTATACAAATAATATGATTAATCATGAAATACGTGTCACTCGACCGTCCAGTGAAAAATATTTTTCATTCCCGTATAATAAATTTTAATAAGCGGGGCACAATTTCAGGCGAGAAATTTATGATAGCGTATTTGCCAGTTTATGAAAAAAATGTATGAATTGCATGAGTCTGAGATCTGAATTTAAAATGAAACCTTGATGTCTGCGTACGAGATTAAGAAAGAGAGTGACAGGGTTATATTCTGGTAGAGAAACGTTTAATTTAACTTTAACTGTCAAATAAAAATCAGTAGTCTGCGAGGCGGGAATTTTGCGTTAAATCAATAACAGTCTTAGGAGAAGTCGGGAACGTGTACATAACTAGATCAGGCGACTCGGTGGAACCGTCGCTGCGTTAAATAATCGCGTTAATTACAATGTCAATTACAATTCAACCGTTGGCGCGTGTCACCGTCAGTTCTCCGATTCCATCGAGATGTTATTTCACTGAGTTTCAAGTTCCTTGACCACGACTCCGGTAATAGCCCGAAGGCTTAAACTTTCGCAAGCCTCCAATATGGAACTCGCTCCTCTTGTTTGAACCAAGAATTGTAAACTTAATTTCCATGGCGTTAAAAGTTTCAAAAACAAATCGGTATTACTTGCGTGCAAAACTGTTTTCGACTTCTGCTGGCTAAGCACGACTTTCATCAGGATGAAGTAAGGAAAAGAAACGCGCAGTTCGCGTGGTGCGCCGAGAGATTTAAGATCGCTGCCTGCTTCGCTTGAATAAACCGTGAAGGAACGATCCACGAAAATCGTTACCATGCAAATGCTCCGCGTTCACGTAAGAGCGGAAGTGCATTCTCCGCGGCGCGTGGAGATTTTCGCGAATGCACGCGCTCTCAGCCAGCTCTTTGACGAATCAAAGAGCAATCCGTACTATTCGCTTGAATCCTGTTTCGGAAATTCCACACTCCATCTTCTCTGCTGAGGAATCGGTAGACGGAAGATTTCTGTAATACGTTTTCTGAGAAATTTATGGCCGGTACCGAATACAATGTAAAGCGCAGATCAAATTCCGTTCTATCGGAAAATAGAATCGTGAAGGACGAGCACGTGAAAGGGGAATCAATTTTACCCGTAGAACATATGAGAAAAATATTCAGTAGAATGGGACAGCAATGAACAGGCTTGGAGTTCTTAAAACTTGAAAATTGATAGTTCGAATTCAAGATCGCAGTTAAGACAGAAAGTAGTTACCATCTCGAGCAGTAAATTCTGAAGACTAAGCCGATAGATTCGAAACTTTTGTTCCATACATGGGTACACATCTGGGAAAGTTCGATACGAGCCAACGGCCTAAATGTGTTTTCAATAAGGATAGTCGTTTGTTTATTCCGCGGACATCAAAGTTTGCGAACAGCGATCGGAAGTACCGTCCAAGTTCGCCGGACTTGCATGCATTAAACCGTTGAATTTGCCCCCGTTGTGTGCACTGTCTCTGTTTACCCGGCAGGTTTCGAGGTATTTGGAGTTCACCGACGACATTCTCTACCTTCGGAAAATTATACCTTTGCTGGAGAAGGAGTTCAGCTTCTGGCAGCAAGAGAAGACGATCAACGTCGTGAAAAACGGAAAGACGTACAAGATGGGACACTACGTCGTCAACAGCACCAGGCCTCGACCGGAAAGCTACAAGTAATTTTCTTATTTTTTTCGAATAACCATCGATATTCTCTTACTGAGAAAATCGAGATTGTCTTTAAGCTCGTAAATGTATACCGTGCTTGTTCACGATTGTAAGAAGTTGTTTGACGAACTGATGTCCCATGATCGATTATCATCCTTCGCTCAACCTAGTTTCCTCTAGAGATAATGATGTATTAGTCTGTAGACCCAGGCGATTAGCTAAGTTTACATATTGACTTTAATTGAGTTCATCTTGATATCATTTTCACTTTTGCATTCATCGTAAAAGCGAATCGGTTTAAAAATAGACATTAAAAGTAGACATGTATATTATTCATATTTTTAATTTGAGAACAGATTTTTTTTTATTCAGATCATATTCAAACTGTGCTAATGAATTAAAACATCAAAGCGTTCAGTAAATTCCGAGTTCCACGGTGCGACATGGCTTGTTAGTATTAATATACATAAATATGGCCGCGTACCGCGTCCTTTTGAAACTGTTAATATAATATAGACATAATCTAATGCAAATACCTAATAGTAGATGCGAGAGCGCATGTATTACTTTACTCTCGACGAGATTCCAATCCGCTTGCGAGCGAACTTCGTCAGGGATCGTATTTGCGTTTCCTATACCGTAACGACACCGCAGTCTTGTATAGCTTAGCATTGATTCTGTGAAACGGTGCCACCTAACTTCCCGTACAAGTACCCCTCCTGCTAAATGAGTTTAGTTTACAATTTAATGAATATGGGCGATTACTCTCTTCTTTGAAGTTCAGCTTCTTCAACGAGTATCAAACTGAATCAATTTCAATGGAACATATGAAACAATAATTGAGATTTTTCAATCTCCCGATTCCTTACCATTTATTTCTATTTTCCTTCAATCATTCTACAATTATTTCGTACCAATTTAATTCTACAACACTGCAGTCCTTCGATAGATACTTCTCCAATCTCTCAATCCCTTGATCCCACAATTTCTTAATTGCTCGACGTCTCGATTCTCTCTCTAATTCCTTTGTCTCCTGCTCCCCGGCTCTTATTCAATTAAAAATTTCCCCTGATGCTATTGCAAACCAACTAAAAGATGAAAGTTTATTTTAACGACACTGTAAAATAATATTGATTAATTATTCTCAATAATTTTCTATTGACATGTGTTCGTTCTGTTACGAATTCAGGGAGGACTACAGGCTGGCTCAATTATTGCCAGAAAAGTCGCGCGATTTCTTCTACAACAATATAAAAGCGGGCGCCGAAAGTGGCTGGGACTTTTCCAACAGGTGGTGCATAGGGAACAACAAGACCGGGATGCTCAGTTTGCTGAACATCTCCACGCAGTATATTATACCTGTCGACCTTAATGCGATTCTGCAGCAAAACGCCCGGCTGCTAGGCGAATTTCACACTCTGTTGGGAAACAATGCGGTAAGCCTCTATTCGGAGAACCTTTTCACCCCATAACTTCCCGGCTGCGGTGCGCAAACAATATAGTTCCGATGCATGGTGTTAGCGAAGTCGTTTAACTTGGTGCACGTGGCTGATTGCCTCGATTCGTTAATTGACTTCGGATTGCGAAACGCGTCTAAATCAATTCACATTACTTAGTCTGGTACGACAAATCGACTCGCATGATGCCTTGGATTAAAACAGATCGTCTTAATTAAAAAAAAATAATATCAGGAAATCTGCACTTCGTTCGAGGAAAGTGTAGGATGTCTTTTTTTAATCTTCGTCGTCCTTGTCTCGCTCGAATCTAATCTTCGCTATATAAGTCTGCCACAATTTCCTCAGATAAATTGGAAGCGTAGGAACAGGAAATCGATATAAATTAATATTTCTTCTACGTACATTTTTAACGCGTTTCGTGCCAAGCTTTTACTCGACTTGTTGTTCAGGTAATTTGATGGTTTGACTAAAGATTTATATATTATCGCATAAAATTTCATGACATCATCAATCTATAAGTAATTAACTTGTTTAAAGTAGTTATCACATCGTTTATCATTTACGGGACACGTGGCGCAGAAATCAGTTCGATTGTAAAAATCAGTCAGATCGAAACTTTTCGATTAGTAAAAAGAACCTGCTGTGTTCGAATTTGTTAAGTAAAAAACGAGGGAAATAAAATATTTAACAAAAGAGGGAGTAGATAAATATACCGAGATAACATTTTGTATTTTTCATTTGTTTCTGTTGGAAAACAATTCTCTATTGTTAACTTTCTTCTTTTAATTTTCTGTACTGATACAGTGATCCAACTTTTAATTCTTATCCATAATGATAAGCAATATGGAAGTACAAGACGCAGATAGTTCCAGTTCTATTTCCAATGAAACAGAACTCCCATTTTAATATAAAACGCTAGTAATGCAATAAAATATATGTTTTCAGCGCATTAAATGTCTACGTATGTCATTTATGGTGTACGTGACCTGAAGATCAAATATAACGTGTACCATAAATTGCATATAACGTGGCACGGTACGTGTTAATAATCAAATATGTGATTCACGGGAAATGGTTTGCGATATTTCAGAAGGCGCAGTATTATGCAAAGATAGCCTCGGAATTCCAAATGGCGATAGATAATGTCCTGTGGAACGCTGAGGAAGGAATATGGATGGATTACGATGTGCAAAATGAAGAACCGAGGAGAGCGTTCTATCCCAGCAACCTCACTCCGTTGTACACGAGGAGTTACAACCGTCAGCAACGCGAGCAGTACGCGTTGTCCGCCGTGAAGTATCTGAAATCGCAAAACATCGACCACTTCTTTGGTGAGTTTAACGATTCATGGTATTCTAAATTATACTCCAAATTAAATGAAGTCAGATATTTTCAATGCGCTCCCAGATCATTTTTCAATTCAATTTTCAATTATAATACAAATCGTTGCAGATCGTTTCATTGCCTTTTCTAATTCAATTTAAGAAATTCAAGAATTTTAATTTAAGGAAGGAACGTAGAGATGCACAGAAGCGACTCCAATAAGAATGAAATCGAATGGAATTGCGATAAGAGACGAATGGTACTTGCTTCTGCGTCTTTAGTTGCACAAAGAAGGACACGTTGATTGTATTGCAACAATGGGCGTGTATACAGTCTAATGTCAGTCCAGTTGATTGAATATGTATTAGATTCTTCCAACAAAGTTATTTTATCAGCGTGTAACATTCAACGTGCAATATACATTTTCATTTCGCAATATCAATTTATAATACTCGTTTATAAATATGAAAAACCGCAATTCTTCAAGACTGCCGCGAGAAGCATAATTTATCTCGTATCAACGTATTTGAATCCGTGTCAAAGTTAACTTATAATTAGAGTACAGATATGCACCGTTCCATTTACATATCAAAGCCCGACGCATTCTGTTCCGAAACGCGAACTTACTAGGAAAATGGCACAGAATTTTTCGTTAGGAACGCATTCAGTTGATAGAAGACATAGAGACGAGGAAAACCGTTTTTGGTTCATCCCGATATCTCAATCCGTTCCGGAGATATGGGCTTTTAAAGTGCCCACTGCTCCGGATCCCTCGGTGTTCCGCCCCACTTCGGTTCCCGGAATCAAAGGGTTATTTTCCTGGAAACGCCGTCACGGGCGCCGTCGCCTGGCCGTCTGGTAGGAGTGGGGCAGGTCTAGAAGTGGGTCAAGGTGCGAGGGAGAGATCCCTGCGTGCAACAAGGACGGTAATGACATTACCGAAAAAATTATAGTTGTCTTTAAAGACCGATATCTCCGGAACCGGAACTGATATTTTAAAGAGGGAACTCCCCCGCTGCTTATAATATGATCTCGTTATCATTGTTCATTGCAAAGTTATAAACATTTAACGTTCTTAGTTTCTTAACTGAATGGTATTTCATTTAGGTACAAGCAATTACATTCTTGTTGTTTCAGCAAAATTATGGTTTATATTGTGCAAAAGGAAATATTTAAAATTATAACAATTTTGTACACTTCCATATCTCGTATTTATTAATACAAATATTATAATTATTCCTTCGTTTTAAGAAACAACTATGAAATATTTATGATACTAACGAAATCTCGTGAGAAGCAAGTATTATGAAAAATGTGATCTGATATTTTCGCCGGCAGTATATCACAACAAGATTGTAATAAATGGAGCTTATTAAACGTAATTTGCGTGTTGAGCAAACGAAGATAACGAGCCTGGGTGAATTAAAACCCGTTTCTTTTCCTGGCTGTCTCGCAGGTGGTACGCCCACGTCGTTGAAGCAAACGGGAGAACAATGGGATTTCCCGAACGCCTGGCCACCGTTGCAGTCGTTCATCGTGATGGGTCTCTATTGGACAGGGGTCACGGAAGCGATGGACTCTGCCCACGAATTGGCTCAGAGATGGCTCGCCTCTAATTACATCGGCTTCATGGAGACCGGACACATGTTCGAGAAGGTACGTTCAGACTATACATTCGCGATAAAAAAACACTATCAAGTTAATTACCATTGAACGCCGTCCCACATTCCCCTGAAATCATTTATCTCGTGATTATCATTTATACAAATTATTATGTGTAACTTATGGGATTTCTTAATTGAAACACGGATGCGGTTTTCGAGTGAGATCAACGAATTTGATAAATGAGTCACGTGTGTTAAATTGTTACATGGAACGGATGAGAATTAATTGGCATTGAAATAGTACAGAAACTAATGTCTCGAAGTGGCATTCAATTTCACTGGGTAAACTAGGCTTTACGGCATATCTTTTCTGACTGATGTACATACCTCCCGCCCGCCGTCTGTTTGGTCGGGAATATCGGGTGTTACAAGATAGACGCATAAATTCACGGTAAAATATTCCTCTCTCGACGAGAGTGCACGTGGATCTGTCAAGATATCCAGAATAAATCCACTGTTCGTTATTCTTCACCTCCCGTCTATGAATTCTCGTGTACGTCGAAACTATTCTTTTTTCACGATTCTCTTCATTTCCCGTTTTTTATGCCGTCCAAGACGAAAGCGCTATTTGTACAGTGATGAAAACTGTCATCGATCTGAATCCTTCATATATGTACATATAACTCTGGTCAAATAAATTTGCTATAACCGGTAACAAACGTCGCTCATACCTCGGAATCATATTCAGAACGTAATTAATGTCTTTTATTGATTCTATAAATTTATTTATAGAATTTAACGACCAAAGTGTTTTAAACAACATTTAAACCAGGCTTCGTTAGTAATTTTTATCCAAGCGATGAAGAAGTTTGATAATTTATAAAAGATTACATGGGGCTTTTAGAAGTTCATTACGTCGAAATTAATTAACTTAAAAGACTCCGAGGGAAGCCAATGTTCCGTAAGTTCGGATTGAAACTTCTTGGTTCACCAGCTTAATAAGAGCGCTTCAATAATAATTTTAAATAGCACGATAATATGTAAGAAAACGGCTGTATATTTTTGGGTGTCTTTAATCGAAAAAGCTTCACGCGATGTTCCATTAGAGCTCCGTTGGATCGGAAAGGGCGATACGAGTGATCTGTACTATAATTATGCCTATACATTTGCACGGAACAATAGTTCTCACGATTACACTTAATATCAGGGAAAATATCAAGATTAATTTGATTGAACGAGCTAGAATTTAAAAACACATTATTCTACGTTTATATAAATGCAGAAATTATTTGTTACTCGTTACCATGTCGTAATTATAATTAAAAAATGAAGACGAAATTAAATACTGTTTGTAAGATAAGAAGATAGATTTACCGTTTGTTATAATCTCCGTGGGACACGGTGTACATACTTGAAAAAGCAGATTTGCATATTAATTCATCTGGTATCCGGGCCGAGGCTCTCACGAATTAAACGCGTTAGTTCTTGAAGAGGAGGAAACTAATGCAAAGAAATGCAAATGGGGTGCGAAGGAAGTAGAAGTGTTCACCCGTAACGCAATTTCCAATCCTTTTGATTACGGAAGCAAAGCCCCGTTTTAAAATCTCCTTAGACTCCTTGAATTATCCATACGAACCCAGTACCAACCCTTCACTTTGAATCGCGTAAACATTTAGCCTGTAATCAGTGTAACGTCCCGAGATTAAAAGGAGCGCCGGTGAAAACCGATCCAAGTTTCGTTGAAGATTTCCGGAAGTTTAATTAACTACTGTTAAGGAAGAAGCTTTAATTATCTATGGGCAGTGATCAGGATTCAGGGGTAATCTCGTGGCAGGCGGAAAATCCGTACGTTCCTGCGAAGTTGTCTTATTGTCAGACGGTGTATGTCGAAAGTTAACAACGGGTGACGCGCCCCGCGTGACTTAATTATCCCTGGTTCGTTTTGTGGAACGGGAACGCCTGGTTACTTGGACGTAATTACCGTTTTAATTGCAGTACGACTCGATCGACCCCGGCAGGGGTGGCGGCGGTGGCGAGTACAATGTACAAACGGGATTTGGATGGTCGAACGGCGTGGTCCTTGAGTTTCTTAACACCTTCCCGGCCATCAGCCTTGAGCAAAGTTAGTTGGACGGACTTTAGCAGGTGAGACTGAGTTGAATAACTTAATTACAACGTTTGCCTATGCACAAGAATCGTTAACGTCTCCATAAATTTATTCTCATTAATTTGCATCGTTATTACGTATTAACTATTATCTTTAGTTATGTTCGCAGGTTTTATTGATGACGCGATTTTCCAACGAATCTAGTCTAAACGGAAAACAGGGCGCAAAAAAGGAAACAAGAAAAACCCACCGTTTGCTCGACTCAAGTCAATGTATCTATACAATATAAGAGAGTTACTCTCTGCCTCCTTACGAATCGCCTCGTCGGTGAACTGTTATTCTTACCTGTGGTAAAGTTAGATATTTATACCATAATTAAATTCCACGAAACGGTTTGGCATAGCCATTTGCTGTAACATTAATACTAGAGAAAAAGATTTAAAAATATTTACTGTAAAATTGTTAACTTACGTGACGACCAATATTTTCTATATTTATCAAATTTTAATAATTGTTAATAATCTAATAAGGTTATTTTATATAACCGATGTTATTAGAAGCGTGTATGAATACTATCTTTTTTTCTTAGTACGGTTGAACAATTCCGTGCATCGATGTCAGTGACATCGTTTCGCGAACCAGTAATTTTTAGTCGACGATGATGAAACACGGGCACAAAAAGGCATAATGATTGCGTACGAAACTCGTCAGTATTCTAATTTAATTGCTAGCTGTAAGTTAGTACCGTGCGTTAACAAAAAAATTAACATGCATTTTTTTGTTTCTGGAGAATGACGCTGGCGGCAAACCTCCGATACATGCATATAATTTTAATTTGTGTATCCGTTACTTTCGAAGAGTGAATCATCTCAATGGGATGTAAATTTGAACTGTGTGAAACTTTGAAAGGTAAATCGCATATGTATAAAAGTAATAAAAAAAGAAAGGAAATTGGTACGGAGAAAGTAAACGTTACTTTCCTACAATCACGTTCCCATTTCGCTATGGACATGGCGCGCGGCCATTTCGGTGGCCGCACGAAGAATTTAAACATAATATTCGCCACCATCCGATATGCGGAATTACCGCAAATTCGGTCGTATCGAGATTCATATTGCGCAGACACTTCGGCTAATACGTAGCGTTCAATGAATTTTATTACACCGTGAAACGGCGAGCGGGGCCAGACGGGAATGGAATGAAATTGCAGAACGCGGTCATTCCTTTCGATTCACTTACCGCGACCGTGTATGATGTCCTGTCCCGGAGTAAAGCTCGCGTTTACGCTCCGCCAGCTTCGAGAGCGTTTGCTCGCTCTTCCAGAAAGCAATAAATGAGAGTTGAAAACGCCGCGTCGCGCCACTCCAGTGCACGTGTCGCGAATACACCCGCCGGTTTTCTATCTGATCTTCCAACCCTTCCCGCGCAGCCATATAAGTGTTTCAATTAAATTATGACATAAAGTGGCGCCCGGCTAACAGCTGCGTAATAATTAGAAATAGAATCGCCGGGTAGAAATGAAGTATTTGCAGGATTTCTTTTGGAACGTGAATTTACATAGAAGCAGATTTCTTAATTAACATGTTCCATTACGAAGACTAGTTGATTTATCAAGAGTAAAAGACAGAATAACATTGTGTCACTTCATATAGAAAATTGCCCTCGTTTCATATGGCTAATATTAAAGTCTGTACACATCGCTTACTCGCCCGCAGCTCGTCTATCTTTCCACATAAAGACAAGGTTGCAACTAAATATCAATGTAAGCGACAGTTTGGCGATTTTACGAGGCTTCATAAAAGATCTCCGCAACATCTTAAGCCGTAGTTGTCACAGTCCTCCTTGGAGCGTTACAGCCTCCCCTGGCCTCGTTAAAAATATGAGACTCCCACGGGCGTTTACCATAATCGCGATGGCCGTGCGCGAAATTGAGTATTAGCCGGGAACAGTTGACACAAACGGCGCCGCGGCGGCGTCGTAAAAATTTTCCGAGACGTTCTCTTCCGTTTTTTCTTCACGTCATAAAAATGAAGTTCAATCTCAAGTTTTAATTTATTCCCATTCCGGGTGACTAGCAGCGTATGCAATAATCGACTCTCGCTTGTTAATTTGCATTTCACCCCCATAGCAATTGCCCACTCCTATTTCCTGGGCTTCATTAAGATAATTGCTATCATTTTAATTTCATTAATGAAGAAACGACCTCGATGTTCTCAAAGTATTTCCGGAGATACGCTCCTCCGTGAAATGGTTCTGTCGCTTTTTTATACATAAATCTCGTTGATGCTGGGATCAAACGGAGATGGGCTACGAAATTTCATTGACAAGGGCACGTGTCTATTCTTTGCGATATTCTCATGCGAACGCGAAATGACTGCGAAGAGATAATCCGATCAACAAACGGACGAGTCAGAAAGAAAGAAATGCTCTTGTAAAATTTGGTCCGTGGAAAGATCGTGAGATTCGTAGTCGCTGACGTTTCAAATAAAAACGAGATATATGAAAATATACACGATACAATATTGTTAAAAGGAATATGAAATGCGAGGGGAACATGTTAGAATTAAAACTGACATTTTAATTGAAAAGTTTCGTCACGGACAAATATGAGATAAAGGATAATGAAAAACTGCTTCACGATCATGACATGAAAAATGTTCGTTGGAATTTTACGTCGAACGTCCAATTCAAGGGAATCTTCCTTTCTCCACTCTCTTTTTTATTTAATTTATTAACAAATTGCAGCCGTGATACAAATTGTATTGGATGTAATGATACACGCGGCGATGCAATAACGCGGCCCGCCATAGACGTCTAGTAACAGGTTAAAGGGTCGATATCAGTCTTCGGTTAATTAATTTCCTCTTTACCCTGTCTTAATTACTCGTAGCGAAACGCTGTAAGGTCGCTGCTGTTGGTTAACGACAGACATAACTCCTCGTACAGCGATTACAATTTCCCTTAGCAAACACGAGGGCGTAAAAAGAGTGCTATATTAGTCCCGTAATCAAGGCATTTGCTAAAATCTCCTTATTTCTTCTGTAGCTCGCCGTTGTTGTAGCCCAACTTGAAGAAATCCTTCAGCACCGCGTTGAACGTTACCGTAACAATACCCTCCACTCTCATGCGCGTGACTGCAATTATAAAGCAAGTTATTACTACCCCCGGTGTTGGTTACTACCCTCGACTACAGTACTCCGCAAAAGTCTTGGACCATTCCTTTTCGTAGCGGCTCGCAGTTATTTTTTATTACACACATTATAGCCAATTATTTTCTTCGAGCTTTTCATTAAATGCAAAATACGTGGAGGAGCAAAGCATTATTATTTTCAATGTACCGTGAGCTTCAGTTAATATCCCGAGTAACTTTAAAGTTCAACGAAGAAGACGAGACAATATCGTACTTAAAGTCATTCATAAAAGCGTTACCGGATGGTTTAATACTTTTGCACAGTGGTGTAGACAGACGGTCAGGAGTTTATGGCGTCTGAGAACCGCGGAAAATAAACTGTATTTCAGTGGCGAGTGGTTCATTCGAGCCACTTTATTCCGCGTTATTCTTGAGGCGGGCGCGAGAATCGTAAAACCGGTGCTGGTCTGCTGGAAATCGCTCCGAACCGCATTCAGCGTCAGCGCATAACGCGGCTCCTCTCTTTAATTATGAACCAGCCGGAGAGACCGATTTTAAAATCTTCAGAAGCGTGCGTTTAATAATTTAATTCACTCTAAAAGTCTTGCTGCGAACTGTGAACCGCTCGGTAAAAATTCTCGGCGGTAGATGTTCACGTCATTCCTTTTAACGAAGAAAATAGAGAGAAAAAAGTATGTGCACGTCATGATAGAAAACTGATCCCGGGCAAGTTGGACGTATCGATTAACTCTCGGTTCGAGAAACAGATGCAGTTTCTCTTTCCAATTCCGTTTTTCAACAAGGCAGAACCCGCGGATGTTAATACGTCTGACGTATTGACTGTCTCTCGTTCGATTCGACTAACTTCAATTTTAATTCGACGTCGGAATGGAATCGAATAGGGGGGAGGGGGCTTAGGACGTATAGTTTTTGCCTTACGTTCTCTACCGCCGCCGGAAGCCAATATCGTCGGATCAATTAGTTCCGGTCTTCTTCCGGTTAACCAGCCCGCGAATCGTTGCAACGTCGACGAGGGCTCCGGGACGTACACCGATACCCTATCGAATTTCATCCGGGTTGTAACAATCATCGTTAGCTAGCGGGATTGTCTGGATAATTAAATTCCTGTTTCATGGTTTAGCGAAGTCGGAAATGGCCAATTATTCATAATAAGAACGGCTCTTAAATAAATTCTCCTGTTATTTTTATACATATACGTTGATCGCTTTCAACGAGACGTTATATTTAATTTCATATGAAATAAAATTTGTCTTATTAAGAATGATTACCGTAATTATTAAAAGATAACTCGCGATGATCTGATTACGATTTAATACCTTTTCTCATGGCGACCGGCTTTCAGCGGTAAATAGCAGACTCCATATCCCCTGATGACGTCGTGGCCGAAGATATCCAACCCGTAAATCGACATTATTAGCTGAGGCCCTAAGGCATGATTCGATATACCAAATATTGACCACGTCTCACGTGCTCAGTGTCACCAATTACTCAGATAATAAAGATTAAATATACACAAGACGTTCAATTAGTAAATCGAGATTCGTTCTTGTGTCGAAAATTATTTTTCACTCACATCCATGAGGGTCGGTACTCTTAAAAGTGGCTTCCAAGGGGAAGTTCCATACGGCTAAATTACGGGGATCGTTGCTGCACTTGCTCATTTGCGTCAAACCCTCTTCGATACCCTAATGAAATACGTGTTACGATACGTATGGAGATGAAACGTTCGAATTGTAAGTAGTATGAGATTTTTGTAATTGCAGAAGAATTTCAAAATTGAATTAATTTATTTTCCATTATATTACAATTAAATCCGGTTTCACACGTTTTTATAACATGGAAAAGTGTCAGTAAAAAAATAGCTTACGGCGACTACGCTCCATTCGGGACCGAAGTGATATCCGTATTTGCAATAAGCATTGTTGATGTCATAAAACTCTGCGTGCTCGATCGAACCCGTTATTGACAGAAAGAATTCACCCTCGACAGACATTGTGACAACTTACAAAAAAAATCGCAAAGCGATATAAAATAGTCGAAGCGCGTTGCAACCCCCGTTTTGCCTATCAGTAAAATTTCACTTCGTCTGTTTCAAGGGTCTCTTTGACAAAACTCTAGCGCTGAGTAAACGAGAAGCATTAGCTCTAGATATATTTATATACTGGTACCGGCTGATGCCTTTTGTGTACTATTAAGCGAACCAGTCGCCGTGGCAACGAAGCATGCGCCTCAGTTTTACGGAACATGTGACACGTTTTCACAGTCGAAAGATCCCAACTGCCGGAATTTTCTCTTTTAGTATTTAGGAAACGGCTGTCATACCGGCTAATTGCTGAACGTGTCAGTGGCAGCGTGCATTGTGTCTGCAAATGCCGCGGTATTAAACGTTCGGAGCTATTAAAGAGTCCCCCTCATTTTGTACTGAGATGCTAGCTGACTCGTAATTGCTGCAGGTTTAATTACGCGGGTCAAATTTAGTATAATCTACATGCGGGGAAAGTTTGCGTCGAAAATAAATAATATTCATTTTACGAATATATACGATTAATAGAAAGTTAAATGGAAGTATTTCAGTTGTGACAATATTTAAATAATTAAGTAGCGATTATTTGGATTTTTATTTATAACAATTTTTGTATGTCGAATTTTAAATTGGAATAGAGATTCAGTAATTAACCCCAGAATATTGAAAACAAAGGATAGTTTTTCAAAGTGGACATAATTCTCATAATCACAGTATTTGCTTGACAATCGTATCGACCGTTATTGATAGATTAAGATTACGTCTTTTAACTAATATTGCCCTAAATCATCTCAGAATTCAGCTTCATTTTTTCTTGAAACAGGGTAAGTAATCTCACACACATTTGATTCATTAAATTACATTGAAATCGACAAGATAATTGTTAATGTAAAGGTTGTTAAAAAAAAAATATCACATGATTATAGAATGCAAAAAATGCACTCCGATTTAGTTTACCCTTCTAAGGAACGTAGTAGCAAGTGGATAAAAATAAGTACAATAAGTTCGCTGTTCAACGTTTTATTTTCTCGCGTAACAACAGCAAATCTTACAATCTGATGGAATTAATGTCTAGAAAACGGTATAACGATGCGTCCTACATTGCGAACGACGTATGGATGTAGTATGTACAAGAAGGTTCCGTCGCTGACGCGGGGCGTGGGTGCGTGACGACGCGATCACCGCGTGCCATCGGCGGGCTGTACACGATTTAAAAATGAACACACGTTGGCACGCGCGGGTCGCAGTCTTATCGGCGCGTGGAACTTTCCTCAGTTCGCACGCGAGCCCCACTCTCCTAGTTCGCCGCGACATCTAAAATAACGATTCGATTTCACGTCTCTACGACTTACTTACACTAGAAGCGAAGATTAAATCCATTCTCCTCCCCTTTCACAATTTTTTTTACCCGGTTCGTTTCATCACTGACTGATGGCAGACGTTCGTTGAGGTATTGTCGCGAAGAAAACATGTACAGTCGCACCATTGCCGTTGCGTCTCACGGTGCAGTTACGTTTTTAAGTAAATTCTCTCTCGCCGCTTCGTTAGCGACTCGCTTTACTGTTTAACGCAAATCTACTCAGAAAAATTAGTGTCATACCGATCATTCCCCGTTCTGCTTCGCGTTCGGTATACACGTAACTAACTACGAGATCGTGCACGTCTCCTTTCGACGGTTTCCCCGCGTTCTCACGAGCCTCTTTATTGGCCCGCGATTTCCTTCATGCGGTTCAACGCCGAACCCGCCTTGAACCAGGAGATCTGTTGCTCGTTCATGGTGTGGTTTAGGGTGATGGTATCCACTTTGCCATCCTTGTGCTTAATCTCGGCTTTCACCGGCTGTGAATCAAAATAAAAGCTCTCTCATTAAATAACTCGATTAATCAATTAATAATAAGAAAATTAAGAGTAAATTGAAAAATATTAATGTACCTTGCCAGGCGCAAGGTCTTTCAACCCGAGAAGGCTGATCTTGTCAGTAGGATCGATCTTATCGTAATCGCTAGGGTTGGCAAATGTCAACGGCAACAGACCCTGCTTCTTCAAGTTCGTTTCGTGGATACGTGCAAAACTCTTGACGATTATCGCGCGACCGCCTAGATGTCTGGGTTCCAGAGCTGCGTGCTCTCGGGACGAACCCTCTCCGTAGTTCTCGTCGCCCACGGCCACCCACCTCACGTTCTTCTTCTTGTAATCTCTGGCCACGTCCGGGACTTTGCCCCATCCGCCTGTCAGCTGATTCTTCACGTTGTTCATCTCATTGTTCTCCGAGTTCACGGCTCTGCGGAAAATTGAGTACCATTCTTTAATATTCGAGGGTTTCGCAAAATTTTACTTCAATGAGAATTTATATAGTCTTTCATTATTTGACAGAACTGAGTTTAAGGTATTTACCCAATGAACATGTTGTTCGAGATATTGTCCAAGTGGCCACGGTATTTCAACCATGGGCCAGCAGCTGAGATGTGATCCGTAGTGCATTTTCCTTTGACTTTGATCAAAACTGTCAAATCGGTGAGGTCCTTGCCATCCCATTTGTCGAACGGTTCCAATAATTGTAATCTTTCACTCTTCGGGTTTACGTCTACTTTCACTTTCCTTCCGTCAGCAGGTGGTGCATCGTAGGTGTCCTCTCCAGCGTCGAAACCACGGCTCGGAAGCTCGTCACCTAAAAGATTTTTTCTAATTAATAATTCTAATTTGAAGTATTAAAAAAATCGTAGCTGTCTTCATTGACTTGGCAAATGGATCTTGTTGTTTTCAATCAGCATTTACAAAAATTATTTCGAAATAGATTCGCATTTGTAAACAGTATTTATCAAATTATGAAATAGCCAGACTAAAGAACAGAGGGACTTTGTTTCTCTCGAAAAAAAGCCAGACAGATTGACTCATTCCTGTTATCTCTCTGTTATTTGTAAAAAAGTTGCGCTTACCGAAAGGGTCTTTGAGGAGGAACTCCTTTCCATCTTTGCCTTTGAGCTTATCGCTGAGCGGATTGAAGTCTAGACGGCCGGCAATCGAGAGGGCAGTGACAAGTTCAGGGCTGGTGACGAAAGCGTGAGTGGACGGGTTCGCATCGTTACGACCCGTGAAATTACGGTTGTACGAGGTCACGATGGTGTTCTTCTCGCCTTTCTTTACGTCCTTACGATCCCACTGACCTATGCAAGGGCCACACGCGTTCGCCAGAACGATGCCTCCGAAATCTCGAAGAATCTTCGCCTAAATCACAAACAAATCATCAATTTAATATTCTAATTAATAAGAAATAAGAAAAACAATAAATGTCGTAAAATCTTCAAGTATTTCTTGTTATTTCGAAAGTTCGCAGTATCTCTGCGTTTCGAAAGTTAAAGGTTTTTTCCAAATTTTTTTGTAATACCGAAGATATGCAATATTAGTCAATCCTATCCAGAGTCCAACTGGAAAAAGTTATTATTTCATTTCCCCGATAAAAATTGCTATACTTCGTAATCCGAATCGATGTCATTGTCAGAATTGACAACTCATTTTTTCCTCACACGCGCCGTCGAAAATACATTGGGAACCAAATTAAGAATTGGCGTAGGCCGCGTAACTTGTTGCTAACTGACATGTACCAAGGCTTGGCCGGGTTCCAACGTGGCTGTGCAACCTCTGCTTTACTCCGAGCTTTCATAAACCGCATTTATTCTAGAAAGAGACTTACGATTCCGTCACGTTCAATGGTGGCGCGGATTTGCTCGGACCCGGGCGTGACGTTGAACACCGACTTCGCTTTCAGACCGTTTTCGATGGCCTGTTTTGCGATGTTCGCGCATCTGCCCATGTCCTCGTAAGAGCTATTCGTGCAGGAACCGATCAGCCCGACCTTGATTTCGTTCGGCCAGCCGTTCTGCTTGGCAGTGCTACCTGATTAGAAATAATTTCATCCTTTCGTGAATTTTTTGTCGAAATTCATACTTTCTAAATATTGAACCTCAACAAATTCAAACAAGGAATTGAAAAGAAATCTTTACATACCCAATTTGGAAATGGGATGAGCGAGATCAGGCGTGAACGGTCCATTCACGTGCGGCTCCAGCGTCGTCAAATCCAACTCGATGACCTGATCGTATTTGGCATTAGAATCGGCAGTCAATAGCTCTTTATGTTGATCAGCGGCTCCAGCGATTGCGCTGCGACCAGTAGCCTTCAGATAATCCTGCATGCGACAATTGTATGGGAAGATCGAGGTAGTAGCACCGATTTCGGCACCCATATTACAAATAGTAGCCATTCCCGTGCAACTGATGCTGTCCACGCCAGATCCAAAGTATTCCACGATAGCTCCGGTTCCTCCCTTCACAGTCAGAATACCAGCTACCTTTAAGATTACATCCTTCGGGCTTGTCCAACCCTTCAGGGTTCCCGTCAACTTCACACCGATGACTTTCGGACATTTCAATTCCCATGGGATGTTGGCCATCACGTCGACAGCATCGGCACCGCCGACGCCGATACACAGGCAGCCCAGGCCACCGCCGTTCGGCGTGTGGGAGTCGGTACCGATCATCAACAAGCCTGGGAAGGCGTAATTTTCAAGTATGATTTGATGGATGATACCCGAGCCTGGGTTCCAGAAACCGACTCCGTACTTCGCGCCAGCGGTCTTCAGGAAGTTGTACACTTCCTTGTTGATGTCCTTCGCTCGTTTCAAGTCCTGAGTGCCACCTGTCTGCGCTTCGATCAAGTGGTCGCAGTGAATTGTCGAGGGAACGGCAACCTTTGGCAATCCTGAAACATTAATTTTCATAGAAAGAGATATTAGTGAATTAAATGAAGAGGGGAAAGATATATTAAAGGAAGTAGTGATTGAACGATGGGTACCTGAGCTGATAAACTGCAACATGGCCATCTGAGCAGTGGCATCCTGCATGGCCACGCGGTCCGGTCGCAGCCTAAGGTAGCTGGTTCCACGAACGATTTCCTGATTCTTGGGATCATCAAGATGAGAGTATAATACTTTTTCGGATAGAGTCAGTGGCCGGTTCAATCTGGAACCAACATTTCCGATTAGAAAATCGTCGTTTAAAGACTGTCAATTAAAACCTTGCCTTTTTTTCACGATCTTAAGATTCTCTTCCAACTTGTCGTAAGGGAGGTAGCTGGTGCTGTCGAATTTCGACATTGCCACCTTCTGGGCAGCGAAGCTCAATGCGCTCGCGCTGAAACATCTTTGCTGAATGTCTGTAGCGAACGCGGTGAGCCTCTGCAAATGATTAAAAAAAATACTGTTTACATTTTAATTTAAATTAAATTCATGCGGAATTTAATTAACAATTCTTATAATATTCAGAGACATTAAAATTCAGAAATATTACAATTGAGAAACCGTCACATTCCTTACTTAGTTTACATAATCGCGATGTTATTTATCTGGGCGCGTGCTGCGATGGTCGGTCAATATTTCATTGACAACAACCACGTTTTGCGACGTTAACAAGGACGGTATAAGCTCATAAAAAGAACTATACATGCAGATAAATATTATTAACACCAGTGTTCCCCTTTAGAAAAAGAAACAGTCGTTATGTTGACACAATAGCTATTACATTTCACTATGTGCTCAACTTGTTGCGTGCATGTGACGAAATAGTATGAATAGATGCGCCTATATGCATCGATCGTTATGTAATTCGATTATTTGTGGAGACAAAAATTTTGCACTTTCCATCCCCGAATCGGCTCCAGACGATTTAACAAAACAACGTGACAGGAAAGCACACAAAGATAGGAGTATAATTAGCAGTGATTCGAAAACATTCGTTATCAGCTGTTGTATGCTCTTTTATCAGTCAACACAAATTACAATGGCATTCTCACACGAAACAAAAGGACTGGGTTTATTTCACATTCGACTCGGCGCGCCATGTAATCGCGAATATATACGTCGCTGCGCAATCGCCGTGCGAAGGAATAATCTCGAGTCCTGTGCTCTCAAAAATTGTACAGCCATAACATAACGCGAACCGATTATGTAACATCGAAATGAACGTTCACACGGTTATCAGTCTAATCAACCCCGCCGTTACTTCCAGGCTGGAGCACTGCAGCTGTTATCAATGCTCCATCGCTGCCAATGCTTTCCGAAATGACTGAACCCCGTGCACGAGAATTGCAAGTTATGAAGTGATCAAATGTCATAACGAGAACGTAACGAGATCTTTATTGCACGTCTTGTGATGATAATTGTAGGAGCAAAGTGCGAAACGCAGTTAATTCGTGACAGAGAAATGGTCGTTTTCAGATTACGATTGAGCAGAGTCGAACGGGAATGCATCCGCGTTGAACGGTCGATAGGCCGCCGCTCCAAAATGACACTGTCGACCTTGGTAATGGTGTCGAGCGGTCGAGATTGAAATAGGCGATCGGTCGCACCGGCACAGAATCGTCCCTCTCAACGCGGTGCCCTTGTTCTTTTCGATTCACTGAATGGTTTCTACGGTTCATACCTGGCCTCGAAGGATTCGAGTGCAGTAGGACATTTTCGTGGTAAATGGTCTCCCAGAGGCGTGGTGGTTCGCGAGAGACTGGTTCTGTCGAACGTGAAAAGGTGCAAGCGCAGGCGCGAGGCTTAAATAAAGAGGAAACCCGTTTTATACTCCGGTGGCAGCCCTTCTCAAACCGGCCACTAGAGAACTGAGGGAAACTCGGTTTCGTTTGGTTTCCTGGTGTCGATGCAGAAAGCCCGCACGCATGCGCTATCAGTTTATCTCGTTCTCTGGTTTGAATAACAATTTCAATACTTGGAACGAGATACTGGCGCCCCCGTTCTGATGCCGTTCCTGAAGAGACCTCCTCGTTGCTGGCGAACCAATCGGAGTCGACGTGCCTCGAACGAGCGATGGACTCGAGCCACTTCGAGTCACTTTCAAGCTATCAAAATCCTTTCGATATGAGACAAACCTGTTGGTTTTCAATGATGATAGCTTGAAGAGCAAGCCACAATTTGATGCACTAGCTGATACTTCATAGTTGAAACGATCGGAAACTGCAGATGTCTGAGGAACTTCCAGTCTTATTTGACGCGAGAGTGGAACGGCGACATCGCTGGCTTGTAACAGCTGTTCAATCGATTGAACAGATGTGAAACATCTGGCTCAATGGGAGATGAATCTGGGAACCCCACTTAAAGAATGTTTCGGCAGCTACCGAACAATAAAACTCATTCGAGTCTGTCCATTAAGGACTGAAGGTTGGTCCTCTATAAGTCCTTAACAAGAACACTACAAAGATCCTGTAATAAAACTGTAAATTACACCCCATAAATGAGGATTAAATTGTTGAAAGGTCGAGAGCCTCAAGTGGAAAACCCAAAGATTCTCAAGTGAAACCTTAAAGAAACCAAAATACTTATGGTGATAAATGCCATATCGTGTTTAACGTTTAAAAACGTGCTTAAAACAGTAGTCATAAAAATGAAGATCTGTCCCTGACTTATTCTTCGTTTGATTTATTAATATATTTTTTATAACTTCGATCTATATTAATTATTGAAATATTTTACGCGTCTTCGTTTGATTTATTAATATATTTTTTATAACTTCGATCTATATTAATTATTGAAATATTTTATGCGTTGTCCAACAACGAGCTGAGAAACTATCTGTTTTTTAAAGAGAATGTTCTACTGCGACTGCGCAGCAAATTTCTTCTGGCTCCACGATCGCAGTGAAACATTCTCTTTAAAACACAAACAGTTACTCAGCTCGTTGTTGGATGACGCTACATGTAATGCAAAAAAGTAATAAAAACTACTTTTTTTATTTTGAAATTAACTATCGAAACCTTGCGTTTAACTCTTGCAAATAATAGTAGAATGAATAATAATAATAATCTAGATTTAATGTGGAAAGTTTCTTCGATTCGTGTTCCTTAATTCAAAAAAACTTATGTCACACACTTGAAAAAGATTGATATGAGTATAAAGTTCACGATTTACTATCATGCACGGAAACAATTTAAGCTGATGAAACTGTTTCGAGACTCAATCTAAAAATCGTGCGTTATCTTTCTCCGTGACGTCACGTAGATCGTTCGGAGTCAGCAGTTGCATTACACGCGACAGGACATGCGTAACGCGTCCAGAAATAAAATCATGCGCCGTGACTCTATGAACAATCGAATTTACGATTTCTATAATTCTCATTTGACAGGGGAATTAGCATAATTGCGCGTTAAATGATTTCAGAAACGAATTTCATCATCATTGTTTTCATTTGCAAAAATGATACGTGTAATCGGGAAATACACGAACGGAGATGATAACTGTTATTCGAGATTAATTTTATCATAATTGAGTACTGATAGGATGATTCGAAAATAATTCCAGGAAAATCCCAAACGTTTCGCAAGTGTATGAAAACCTGTAAAGTGCGGATTAATTGTACTTAACTCGTTAAATATCGGAGTTAGAAGGAAAATTCGTAGAACCCTTCTTGTAGAGGACATCAGTGCGTACGACTTCAATTTCAAGCATTTTCCGAAATTTTGAGAAAATAAAATTTACGTACACACAGAAAATACGTAGCTGTAACTGGCAGCGACACATGGGAAGTATTAGAGATAGAGAGAGAGACAAAACGTGTATCATCTCTTATGTATATGTGCGAAGCCAGTCCGGAATCCGGTAAGCAATTTACAGTGCGTGGGAGTAGCGCAGGGATCAGCGGCGTCTGATCTAATCTGATCGAACGCGACGCGACGGATTCGAAAAATCGGCGCGGTTTTTGCTTTCGCAATTCGACTGGGTCACGAAACCAGCCATGGCCATGTTCGTTCCCAAGAGCAAACAAAAAGAAAGTGGAGTGACACGGTTGGAGCAGTCCACGGGATCAGAAATAAGCTTTGCAAGTCGTCACAGTGGAATTTGCAGGTGTCGATCGGGACGATAACTCATCGCCGATTTTTAAGCCCCCTTAAGCCGAATTTTAAACAAGATCTGACGGAGGTATATCAAATATAAATTAGTTGAAGTCGAAATTGTTCGGATACTTGACTGGTTGCGTCGGACGTGGAAACGAGCTGGAAACGAGATCGGTCTTAAAAGGAAACGACTGGAAAAGAGAGCAGACACGTGAAGGCGGTTTAGTTAGAAATAAGTAATTAAACTGCTATAAGGAGACGGATTACATCTATAGAATCGAACGACTTTGACTGTTCCTCTTCCGAGACCTGATTCATCAAGGCTAATCGATGATAAGATAAAAGATAATAATAAACTCTTGTTTTAAGTACAAATTATAATGATATAATATCATCGATTATTCCTGCTCTATTACGACATTTTGAACACAGATTTCATTGTTACGGATCTTGGATCATCAAATCTGATGATCTAAATACTCATCTCGTGAACAGTACGAATGATAATCAGGAAAATACACGTAATACTCTTCTGAGAAATGTGGAACAATGCAATCTGTTTCTCAGCAGTAGTAAATCAAATTTTCCACAACAAGATAGATTAGTGTCTCTAAAAGAACATTGTTATACTTCGGTTTTGAAAAAGAATATATTATACTACTAAAACCTTGAATTCATTTAACCTTTAATGCAATCAGGATTAGAAGGTGTCTAAAACCTTGATGTTTCGCAATGACGGTTACTATCGTTGGCACGCGTCCAAAATTCCTTTGAGCTCATTGCCGCAGCGTAAAATTGACTCATTCGCATAGGGTTAAGAGGGTATTATAACGGGATTATGCCCTGGCACAAACAGAGAGAATGTTGAATCGGTCCTTGACATGATTAACTCTTGTTGTAGGTGGACCACGTTTCGACACACGCCCGCGTTCTGATCCTTGCTCGTGGCAGCAGACGTGTCCTTTCGTTCTGCAGCAGAACAAAATTTTCTGGTAAACAAATTAGCTACGTTCGTCTCGTAACACACTTTCAATCTTGCCCGTAACTCCGCTCGTAATTAAACTTCTCTAAGCTGAAACACTGCCGCAATTACACAATTCTCAGTGAACTCGGCCATCGCCTTTATAAATCTCTCTCTAGAATAAATAGTTGACGACACTGTCAAGCGACATTGCAAAGACATAAATTTAAAGAATTTTAATAGACACTTGGTTACTTTTTTTTTTTGCTTGAAATGACAAGTTTTATCGTATGGACGGTTGGAGGAAGAATTCTTAACGAGCGAAGGACTTTCAGTTACACGCGATAGAAAATTACGAAACAGTTTCAAGGGTGGGAATAAACTTCGTTTGTTCGAATCGACGACGACGTGTGGTTTTCCCAACAGATTTAAAACCTTCCCTGTCCGCGATTATTTCGCGTTACGCATTTTATCAAGCTGCCACGCATAACAGAGATAAAGGATCTCCCGCAAGGAGAGTCGGTTCGCCTCGTAAACCTGAACGAGTTCTCCGGATTTTATCTGGAGAGAAGGTCTGGGTTAGGCGTTCACCAGCCAGCCTTGTCGATTCGCCAATGTCGATATACGATGGATCGAAACGGGGGCATGAGTTTTTTAAAAAATAATTGGCGCCAGGTTTGGAATCGCGTCACGCACATCATTCTGAATTCGCATGATATTGTAAATAGGAGTAAACCGCTGATCCCACAGCTCGAGATGAATCATTTAAATCTGTTTAGTTAAGATTTATGAGGTAATAAAAGCCAGACGATTGGAACAATAGTAGTCGCTCCTCGAATTACTCGACGATCAGCAATCGTAGGTGACAGAATTTAGCGGCATTGAGATTACAAATACCATCGCAAGGCATTTAACTAAAGAGTGAAAGTTAAAAAAGCTCGACCTTTCTATTTATTGATGATTCATAAAATCGCTAATGGGACTATGGTGACGCGGGTCGCGAAAATGCATTTTACACGCCCCGTTAAATGTTCCATGTAATACAATTCCCTGGAAGTCGACAGAGAAAGGTGAACTATCTGTAGTTCGCTGACTAATCAGAACGTTGGGAAAATTTAGAATCCAGTTTAGTTCATACAATTGTGAACGATGAGTAAGACTTTTGAATTTTCTAATAAACCAGAGGTGACTTATTAAGAAAGTAATTCACAACAATAAAAAAAAATCCCTTGGTAGAAATTAATCATCATATTAATTCATTTGGTTGATTATCGAAAGTGACAGCGAATCGAGGCGAGCTCATTGACAGTGGTGCTCTGTGGAGCGTGTCGATTGACCGTGGCGATAGTTCGACCGTTACAAGTGTTTCGTAACACTATTGGGGAAATGCGATTTTCTACTTTTAGCAACCATCCTATACGCAAGTATGCTTGAACGTTCAGACATTTTGTGAACAAGAACTTTCGCCAGTTGTCTGTTGCTGTAACCCCTTAATGTCCACTTGAAACTCCACAGTAACTGTTCAAGCTTATGAATAATGCAAACGTCCACGTTTTGAACATCGATGACTGTCCTTATAATTGATTCTACTTTGATTGAAGAATAAAAATATAATCAATTAATTATATTGTATTTCCATAATTAAGAAATGGATTCCAGGTTTTTCTCTCTGAAGTCAAACTTTAGGGATTTCCATTAGATACAACTTGTTACACAGCGGTCTTACGTGGAACGCAAGAAACGTTAGTCAAACTGTAACACTTTTACTTTCCCTACCTCTACCTACTTACTATATAGAGATAGCGAGGAAAGATCAGGATCGCCTTTCGAT